GGAGTCAGGACACAAGTTACATTTTTTTTCTTACCCTGAAAAACGCTATATAAACAAACCTGAACCCAGTAAGCAAATGAAGGCTCGCAGGTCCTGAAGTGCGCTCACATTTCTCCTCATTTGCGAGTCACTTAGGATAAAAGCCTCTGTTAAATGAATATATGTAAATGTACCAACAATCTGAAAGCACTGTCGGTGGAGACCAGAGCTCAGTCAGAGTTATCATTATTATTAACCTGGAGTGCATTTACAGACATACAGTATTATTGCACAATATTGTCAAACAACAACTAAAAATGAGACAGCAGCACAGCTCTGATCCCAAATATGGACAGTAAAATATAAAATGTATAGTATAAAAGGTAACACAAATATATTTGACACATACAGTACACACATTTGTTTGGAGTGAGGACAGTGTAGGCTTCAGTGTAGCCAGGTTAATCAGGTTAATTATTATTTTCTATGATCTAAGTGTACACTGCTGCTAAATATATTAATAAAAAATGTGCTAAACACTAGATCAAATACTACAACGAAAATATCTTGAGGCGATTTAGAAGATTAAGCATCATGATGACTAGATTCATTCATTCATTTTCTTTTCGGCTTAGTCCCTTTATTTATTAATCCAGGGTCACCACAGTGGAATGAACCATCAACTTATCCAGCACGTTTTTACGCAGCGGATGCCCTTAAAGCCGCAACCCATCTCTGGGAAACATCCACACACACTCATTCACAGACACAGACACAGACAAAGACACACACACACACACACACTAAGGACAATTTAGCCAACCCAATTGCTGTGGGGGATACCGGAACACCTGGAGGAAACCCATGCGAATGCAAGGAGAACATGCAAACTCAACACAAAGGCTTAAACCAGCTTCTTGCTGTGAGGCGACAGCACTACCTACTGCGCCACTGCGTCGCCGATGACTACATAATAGGCTTATAAAGCGGCCAAATTGTTTTAATCTAGTGTTTAAGCTCTATTTATTCTTCACTGATGGCTGTTACCCTTAAGAATGTTAGTAAAAAAATAAATAATTAAAATATAAAGACACAGAGAAAAAAAAAGAATAAGCATTAAGTTCATCAACTCAACTTTACAATGAGTACAGTTGCTGGCATTCAATACTTAATCATACAATATTATTATTATCATTTTCCATTTTCTATATTTGCAATGCCTGTATTTTGGATTTTTTTGTAGTCCAATTAGAATCCAACATGGAAATATTTTTGTTTGTTATTGGCATTGATTATTTTGAAATTCAAATGGCACTTACATACCTGTGTTTCTATTTCTGTAATAAATACAGCATTCCATGATTAATTATGATTAATTACAAAAAAACTGTGATTACTTAGTTAATTTTTTAAATCAAGTGACAGCCCTAGTTTTGAATAAAACCATCTATCTGCTTCTACTACTGTCACCAACATGCATGAAGACCCAAGACGGAGCATTAACATAATCAGAATATATATTATTTCATATTTCAATTAAATCAGTGGTATGGAGCTGTATCAGTCAGACAAGTCCAGGTCAGGGAAACGGCAGCTCATGTACTCAATAAAGTCAAACTCTGTCACCTGAAACTCAACATCCTTCCACTTCTTGTAAGGCTTTGTTTCTTTAGGGGTGTTAAAGGAGAAGCTCTTTATTTTCAGACAGGGGAGAATTGCCACTTTCTTGAATTTAATCTCGAATCCCCAGTCCTGAGAAAAAGAGGGATGTAGGTCAGCATTTTTAAGGACTTCCATTCATTCGTTCATTTTTCTTCAGCTTAATCCCCTATTAATCAGGAGTCGCCACAGTGCAAGGAAACACCAACTATTCTGACATATCTTTTACACAGTGATGCTTTCTCAGTATTGAGAAATTTCTAAGGTCTTCTGCTACTTTAATAATAAACTGTAATATGTGATTTAATCTGTATTTGGTTTGAAGAGGTTGTACCTTTTTACATTTTCTGCAGCTGATAATCCGTCCAGGCTCCCAGTCTTCAAAGGTCCTCTCCATATTCACCTGGTCACCAACTTTATAGTGATTTCTATAAAATAAACAAACATGATCGTTTTATGTCCTCTGGAGCATTATGAAGCTAATAATATGCCAAAACTATCAGAATTTGAATTGTGTTCATTTGAATTATTGACAATTGTAATTTAATAAATCTGAATTTTTATTTGTCATTCTTAGTTTGGCTTTTCGGTGATCATCTACTCTTCCCTGTTGATCACCCCTGACCTACTCTCTGCTGAATCTGAATTTCAAAATCTGAATTTCTGGTTTTAAATTTTAGAACATTGAATTTAATGTTCTAAATTTCTTCATCTTGAAATTTAAAAAAGTTTGAAAATACGTCTAAAAAAAAAAAAATCAACCTTGAAAAATTCAGTTGTCTTACATTTCAGATGATCAATAATCAAATTAAATTCAAATTCAAAACAATTTTAATGGGATATAAAAATTCAGATTTATTAAAATACAATTGTCAATAATTCAAATGAACACAATTCCAATTCAGATTGTTTTGGCATATTATTAGCTCCACAGAGCATGGAACTAATGACTTATTTGTATCTCATGTGCTACATTTTAACTTGAGAAAACATTATCTTGCATGTTCATTACACATATACACTAGTTGAAGTCAAAGTGATTAGCCCTCCTGTACATGTTTTATTCCTTCATTTTTCTAAATTTTTCTCAAGTTCTCTTTTCAACGCATTTTTAGACATAATAGTTTAAATAACTAATATAATAACTAATTTCTTTTGTCTTTTGCCATGATGACATTACATATTATTTTACAGGTTATTTTGCAAGATACTATAGTATTCAGCTTAAAGTGACATTTAAATATTTAAGTTAATGCAAGTCATTGGAAAACTGTGGTTTGTTCTCAGGCATTCAAAAAAATGTTAAGAGCTCAATAATCTTGACTTTAAAAAGATTAAAACATAAAAAACTGCTTTAATTTAAGCCAATCTAAAAGAAATAAGCTTTATTGAATATGAAAAATTATGGTAGGAATTAGGAAATACTGTAAAGATTTTTGTTCATGTTAAACATCAGTTGGGAGATATTTAAAAAAGACTGAAAAGGCTAATAATTTAACTTTCACACTGTTTAAATAGCAAATGCATTTGCGCTTATATGTGAGCCCATAGGCATTCTGGTCTAAAAAAGGAGATGTGTTGAGGCGCATTGCTGGCGCATTGCTATTTTGAGGAACTAAAATAGACTACACAATAGACCAGCTGAGAACAGGTCTATAGTCCAGCGCAGAGCGTGTTAGTTGTGTAGTTACCTTGCTCACACATTGCTTAATGCACACAGGATGTACAGCAATACACGAATATCTTTCAAATGAAAAAGAATTAAAGGAATAAAATATTACAAAAACTATTATTTTCTAGCCCACATAAATATAAAAACCATACTTTCATGCCTTCTTCATCTCATGGGGCTTATTCAGTTTATTCATGACAATTTGCTTTTTATCATTAATAGTATTTATTATATGCATATTTATATTTGTTTTTATCAAAAACAAGCTTCGATTTGCCCACCTGTCAGGTTTTAGACCATATGGGGCATACAGTAGCATGTGTGTTTGGATATAACTCAGTTTTTTGAACACACTTCGATATTATTGTTCATTTATTTGTTTGCTGGAAATTAACACTTCATTTAGAAATAGTTTTGAAACAAATTTTTGCGCTTAACAAACAATATTAATTATGTATAGGCTAATGGATGTCTGTGTGTACAACATATTTCCTTATCTACGAGAATGAAAGTGAAAGTAAAGAATGAGGAGGCTCCTTCTCACGCTGCAGACGCTCTGTTTAACTGTTATCTCGCTTGTGAAGTGTTCAGTTTTTCCACCTACAAAGTCCGCCATGTAAATAGCAAATGCACTCTAGCGCAACGCAACTGACTCTTTAAGGAAGTGGGAGATGAGACTCTTATTGGTTGATTCTCCAGTCACACCTATAACTTATTAAGAAAATAAACACAACCCTGTTAGACCATGCAGCACGGTGCAAAATCGTATTTTTCCATCGTTAAAATAGCGAAAGTGGATTCGGACACACCCTTAATGCTTTTGTGCCCTGCGCTTTGGACTTTGCGCCTGGATTATCAAAATAGAGCCCATGATATTTGTGGAGTCACTCCAGAATTGAACCATTTGTTTATTAAATGTTTAATAAACATTATTTGAATAAATTATTTTTACAATAAAGACTACACAGTGTTTTTACATTTGATTAGTCAACTTCTGAACATTAATGTTGTGAGGCATGATTAAATAATGCTTTTTTTGTCTATATGCCTTTTATATTTGCTCTATCCTATTAATCTATGCTTTTATTTATGTGTGATTCAATCCTATACAAAATCATCCCAATCAATCTAAATGAATGAATTCTTTCCAACTAGAGCTATTTAAGCTATCTGGAATATTTGTATTCATAACACAAGATAGATACAGTAGCTGAAAAACAAAATATTGCAATGTCAAATTTTTCCAATATCATGCAGCCCTAATACAGAGAATGCACTAAATTGATCAAAAATAACAGTAAACGTTGCTATACTTTTGCTAAATATTTCTATTTCAAATAAACACTTAGCTTTTAAACTTCATATTAATAAACAATTATCCAAATATCCAATTACTAATGAACCATTTTCATCAACACCAGTTTAGCAAAAATAGATTTGTATGCCATTTGTTAGAGATTGGCAAATGTATTAAATCTGTACGAAGCAATATATATATAATATTTGAGCAATATGTTGAATATGAATTATATAAATAACTTTATTGTATTGTAAATTTGACTAATGCATTAAAAAAAACTTGTTTGTTTTTAGCTTGTAATGTTAGTCATGTGATTTTAACACTTTATTTTTTGCACAGGAAGTGTAGCCTATGTGGTTACATTTGCTATTTTTGTTTTCATATCTTTTAACATAAACATTGTTTCACTGGACAACATTTGCCACAATGTAAAAAAAATTAAAAGTAAAACAGACAGATTTCTTCATCCAAATAGTAAAAAGTAGAAAATATCTATATATCAATTGTATATTACAATGAAGCCATTAAAATCCTGCCATAATTTAGTATAATATAATATAATATAATATAATATAATATAATATAATATAATATAATATAATATAATATAATATAATATAATATAATATAACTAAGTAGTTCAGTAGTTTTACCATTTTACATTACATTTCATTATGGCTACACATTTGTAAGGATTACTGCATAGGCAACCCGGGCTCATTGTGGAAACGTAGCCCCGCAGACATTTCTGCGGACCGCGATTTACGTCCCGGGAGGTACGTATTCGAGCAGTTTTTGTTTTCGCGGATCCGCTGGAGGCCGCTGTGCGCGCTTTTTTGCGTCTCGGGCGCCTCTCGGGAGCGCACACCTTTCTCGCCCGCGCCGTTTGCGCCCGCGCCGTTCTCGCCTGCGCCGTTCTCGCCCGCGCCGTTCTTGCGCGAAAAGCCGCTGACTCGGCCGACTCGGCCGCCCTCCTCTTCCTCCTCCTCCTTCCCTAAACCCGAGCGACGGTTCGCAAAAGCCGTCCGAAAAAAAAAAAAAAGCAAAAGCCCTCGTCTTCGATTTCGACCGCGTTTTCGGATCCCGCCGTGTTCTCGCCCTTATTTTTCGGATTCCGTTTTTCGTCTTACCTGATTTCCGGAACCTGCTGTTCCCCGGACTCGATCCCGGTCGTCGTCCACCACGGCCGGCTCCTCCTCTTCTGGGGCCTCCGCCGACGCAACGCTGTGAGCTAAGCGGACAAACTGATTGCATCGGGAAAGCCCTCCACTCGGAGGCGAGCCGTCGGCCGGCGAGCGCGAAGAGGAGGGGCGGAGCGGCGCCACACTGCCCCGCAGCGTTCGCTCGAAAAAAACTAAACGCGGCCTTTACGTACCTCCGGCCACGTAAATCGCGGTCTCCAGAAACGTCCGCGGGGCTACGTTTCCAGAATGAGCTTGGGTTGTGCATAGGAGTGTCATGTACTGAGCACTAACTCACTTAAACTCAGTGTTAACGTTGACATGGTGCGAGTTCTCGATCTTCCTGATGTCTCCTCCGCTGCAGACGGAAGCGAAGCAGCTTCTGCACTGAAGCTGAACCTGACCTGGACTATAGCGCTGCTTTTTCGCATCCCTCTTCCGTTCAGCCTCCATCCGAATCACCACAGCTGTTTTCTGGAGCTCAAACACCTGAAAGAGAGCACAAAGACAAAACATTTTTTTAGCTAATGAAAGCTTTTGAAACACTTTAGTTTAAAGGCCAATTCTCACTATTAACTTATTATTTGCCTATTTTTAAGATATTTGCAGTTTATTAGTACTTATAAAGTGCATATTCTGCATGATCTTGTTCTACACCCCTAAAAAAGTGTGTTGCTGGGGCTTATTAGATGACTTATATGACTTAAAAATAAATCTTCTGCGTAAAACATATGCAGGACACGTTGGCGGTTCATTCCGCTTTGGCGACCCCTGATTTATAAAGGGACTAAGCCGAAAATAAAATGAATGAATGAATGAAAAACACAAATATATATGCAGAGAGACCGAACAATAGTGGGTGGAGCCTGTGCTCTGTGGGTGGAGTCTGCTAAGACTTGTGATGTCATATGCCACTATGTTGGGAAATGAGCTGCTTTTACATCTTGATTAAAAAAAAAACTGTGTTGCTTATAACGGAAAAGATATTATAGACAAAAAAAACAATGTAATTAGTTTCCAAATGAAAAGTTTCCAGATGTAAGTCGTTGAAAAATAAGACTTAAATACATTTTTTATAGCCATAAGAAAAATCTGTCAGCACAGTGTTGCCAACTTACTGACAACAAATCTAGCGACTTTTTATAGACTCTCATCTGTCCGTACTGTATCGTTCCTACTCTTCTCCACCCACACATCAGAGCACCCACAGGCGGCCCAGTACCATACAGTCGTCTCTCACACCAACAACCAAAGAGCAGATCACCTCACTACATACCAACAGCAAATGATTTAGCACCGCAAGTGTGAGGTAGTTCCCTTGTACGGTCAAGCTGATCTGCTTCTCTTTTGTCTTAACTTTAACAATTTAATTTTACCATTTATTTTTTTCTTGTTCATAACCACAGAGATTTTAGTGACAGTTTATGAGTTTACGTCTGAGAGATAATAGCAAATTCACTACACATCTGTACTGATAGGCTGTATTCAAACAACAATACATTTAATTAAGTTGACATGAATATGTAAAGCATAGTGCAAAAATAAATACCCCTTTATTAACCATAGGCTGTTAAATAAGCAGAAATTGCAGAACGTGATTACGTCAGTAATATTTCAAATTGACCTCTGACGTATTCTAGCGACATTTACTGACTTTTCGAGCAGAGCTTAGCACCTTACAATGAAAATAGTTGGCAACACTGAAAACAAACAGCCTAGTGGGCAGCGTTCCCAAAAAAATGCTATTGCGATTTTGAGTTCTGGCTCCTAAACCTTTCCTAAATATTAAAAAAAGCCAAAAAATCTCAATTAAAATCTCATTTTATACATTTTTTAACGACTTTTTAAGAGTCTTCAGCATTTATAGGGAAACCTTTTATGAGTTATTTTTACAGTTGGATTAAATAACTGCTTCATTTACTATGAAAGGGTCACTTTATGCAAGACATTTTAATCAAACTAACTGTTACAAATGAAGTTTATTCATTTATTTATTATTGCGTATTGCATGTCTTTTTTTTGTCCCGCCTTGTTGTTGTTTTTTCTGTTATCCCGTAGGCTCTTATACCGGCGTGATCTCGAGTTCTGATTGGCTGCTGGTCTCAGATGCCTGTATTGACCTTATTCTCCACCGACGAGTGGGCGCTGCCATTTGAATCTTTTTGGCACGAGACTTCCGGTCTCATTCACTTCCATTGATTTTTAGACATTAAAAACTGCTCGTTTCGCTGTTTGATGTTGCAAACTGATATTTCCTTGTTATATTATTCTACTTGGTCTGTATACTCATGCAAACATTTGTTTGTAGAGCAAGTAGTTTGACCGTTTTTTGCCGTTTATTATTCCTTGTCATTTCTCCCATAATCGACTGAAACGGAAGTTCTATGACAATCGTGAAAACAGGCGCACTTCCGCATTTTAGAATAAGGTCAATAAAAAGGAGCTTCCGGCAGGAATCGTGGAGCTTATTTGTGCTGCGTTCAGTGCTGGGAGTATAGTTCCTGGATTTCTCTTACCCCTCCAGCCGACAACCAACATCAGTTTTGTTCCATTGTTCATATGTTAACTTATTTTGAGAGTTTCAGCTTGTATGGGTGGCCTGCCTATTTATTTGATTACTTTTGACTATGTTTATGTTTAGGGAGAAAGGTAAGCTTCCTGTATTTTTCTTTAAATATTTATAGGTAATTTAGTACATTTACTTTATAGATTCTTCTGTTTGTTATTTTGGCCAGTGGAGATCCTGAAGAGATGCTCATTTATATTTACTACTTTTTCCTATAATAAATCTATTTAAATACTCTCAACTGAGTGTCCGAGTTTGGTTGTCGACCGAAAGGGATCTTTTGCATTAAGTTTTTGTTTTGTTTGGGAAATCCACCACCCCAACACATCTGTTTTCTTCGTTTATTATGCCCATGTTGTTTTCGCCTAGACTTGGGGAGTAATACTAACAAAGAACTCTAATCTGTCAACAGACTTACAGTAGATTTCATATGTGAAACACCTTTAAAAATATAGTTCACTCAAAAATGAAAATGTACTCACTGTTTACTCACGTGATTCCAAACCTTAAGAAGTTTCTCTTTTCTGTTAAACACAAAATGGATATTCTGAAGTATGTTAGAAACCGGTAACCACTGACTTAAATGGTAGAAAAAACAAATACTATGGAAGTCAATGGTTACAGGCTTCCAACACTATTCAAAAGAAACTTCTTTTTGTGTTCAACAGAAAAAAGAAACTCATGTTTGGGTAAATGATGACAGATTTGTGAGTTTTAGGTGAATTATCCTTTTAAGTTTTTCTATTCTATGACAAACCCAGTCAGGTTTAATAGTAAAAAGTCAAACACAAACCTTGTGTCTGAAATCCACAGGACTCATGCGCTGTACTTCATCAATAGCTCTTGCGGTGAGATCTTCTAGATACTCATTGACAAGTTCTTTGCGCACTTCCCGTCCACCTACGTCAGCCACCACAGAGTAGACACTGTTGGAGGCTCGAGCTCGTCCGCTGGCCTGCTGCTGAGCGATTTCATTGGTCAACAGCCCGTAACGCACAACTAAGTTGCATTCAGGAATATCCAGTCCTTCCTCAGCTACACTGGTGGAGATGAGGAGGTTGAGGTATCCTTGCCTAAAATGACTGATGACGCTCTTCTGTTCAGTCTAATAGCAATTAGATAAAGCAGACACAAACGAGAAGCAAGTTATGACCAAATTCAGAATGTTTTTCCCTTCTTGTTGACCTTCAAGTGCGTTTGCTTTTGCGATTCTTTTACAACTTAACTAGACTTTAGAACTTAGAAGATTAACCATTGACTAGGAATAACAAGCGGCAGAAAACGATCAAACTACTTCACAAGTGTTCATGAACTATTCATAAAAAGTGGAAAATTATAATAAGAAAATATCAGTTTGCAACATCAAGCAGCTTAACAAGTTGTTTTAACGTCTGAAATCAATGGAAGTGATGAGACTGGAGGTCACCCACTCGTAAGTTAAAAATCAGGTCAATAAACACTACTAGATATCCTTTTTTTTAACAAAATGTGCATCTTTTAGAGCATTGTGTATATTTTTAAAGCAAAATCTAAGGCTTTTAAATGCCTTTTTGCAGACTGAAGAAATAAAAAAGTAACACTGTAGAAGTATTTTAAAAGATTTTGTTCATTTGATTATTGACATTATTTAATAACAATAAATAGATGATATTAGGCTGAGTGTTTCTCATTCATTGGTACTTTGACTGTTTAAGGTTGTGGACAAAAGTTCAAATTAGTGATATTAATTAATTTAATTTAATTAAGGGCCAATATTCACCACCTTAAATTGATTCTACAGCATTGTATCAGTATGTTTAACATACTTATTGCTTTTTTAGGTCTAATCTCAAAAAACTAAATTGAATGATAAAAAATTATATATATATATATATATATATATATATATATATATATAT